GAAGGAAGGAAGGAAGGAAGGAAGGAAGGAAGGAAGGAAGGAAGGAAGGAAGGAAGGAAGGTCTACCTTGATTAAAAACAGAAAGTATTACTGTAAGACCAGTTTTAAACAATCTAAATCAACTTTGGTTTGGAGATGGCCCAGCAAGTTCCTCATATAGAATCCACCAGCCACCCAGACATTTTCTCCCCACCCTACAGGAAGGCTCTCTTTTGCTTAAATTATAGAACAGTTTTGCTTTTCTTTTTGTAGAAGCAAACACATAGATTATGATGTTACATATACCACAGTAAAATGAATATAAAATTAGAAGCTTTTGTATAGATCCGCTGAATGTTTATTATACTTTCTTTACAAAAGAGTTTGTATTATTCATGATGTAGGCATACCACCAAAGTTAATTAGAAACTATTCCTTTTCTCTTTACGATGGGAACTCAGACTAGCTCTGATCTGCTCCTTAGATTGCAGGTGATGAATACAACTATTTCAACTGGTTTAAAAGATAGATATGCAATGAAGCATAAAATAGTTAGTCATAAAATTCTTCATGTAACAAATGAAGTCAAATGTCTCCTTGCCCTTCCCACAAGTGCCACTGAGAATGACAGTTCCCTACTACTAATGTCACACCTGTGTTACTCTCCTGGTGCGGATAAAAGCCAAGGGCGTGGCAAAGGCACAAGCTGGTGTGGGTGCATTTTTAATAGGGAAGGAATAATTTAGTCTTTTGTTAGTATACAGCAGCTACTTTTCATTAATATTCGCACTTTCACTTGGTACAAATTAATAGGACCAAAAAATCACTATAGTTAACTAGTTTTGCAACTAATGGGTTAATGGGCTTATTGATCTGTCCATTTACCACATGAAGTATAGGCTAAGAGCTCTTTTTCCTCTTGAGCTCAAACTCTTGGTCTTCGTGTCATTGACTGGTCATGTGGCCATCAACTACTCGCTTCTATGACTGCTTTCCTCATCAGTAAACAAGAACATGATAATGGCTTCTAATTTGTAAGAATGTTATACAAACTAAATGAGGAAATTATTGGAAGACTTTTGTAGCAACAAATGTTGGCTGTTTTCACTTTAAAGAAGAAAAGAGCCAAAGTGGACCTCAAAGCCCTTGAAGATGACTGGGCTAAGGTGTGTGAGGCAGGGCCGAGCCTGCTCCTCCCTCCTCTCACTTGTTCTCTTGTCTAAGTGCCCATCTGTGTCCTGACCTTTTCCAGACCTGTGGACTCATCCTCCACATCCTTGGGAAGCACAATGAGCATACTGAGATGCTTATTCTGGAAGGGAAGTTCTATGATCTTAGAGTTGATGTCATCAATGTTGCCCAAACAGAACGTGGCCTCTAGATTCATCATTTGTACCGGTTTGGTGTCCGTCTGTTAGAAGAGAAAGTTTTAAAAGGGTTAATGTTCAATTTATTAAAAAATACATATATATATATGCATATAAATATATCTATACAAACACACATATACAAACATAGACAGAGATCTATATGATATAGAGACAGAAATACAGACATGAATGACAATAGAGATAGAAATATACTAACTTCTCTTATGCTTTTGGATCACTGTAGCTTAAGCACACACAGGGAAAGCCACACTGCTTGCATCCTGTGATGACTTTATGACTTCATTTGAAAGTTATTCATGTACTTTACTATACCATGCACTCCACATGATAAAAACTATATTATATTTACACACATAAAAAATGAAAATAGCTCAATTTGACTTTATATCAAAATACAAGGAATTAATATGAATATGGGAGAAGGCACCTGTAACCCAGCACTCTGTAGGCAGAGGCAGAAGAACCAGGAATTGAAGGCAAGCCTGGGCTACATAGCAAATTCAAAGACAGTTTGAGCTACATAGAAATACCTTGTCTCAGAACCACATGAACTAAAGACATGCCTACTGTGTGCAAAGCTCTGGGTTCAACACTCTAGTAATGTACGTGCATGTGCGCGCACGTGCACACACACACACACACACAAAGATAGAGGGGAAAGGAGGGAGAAAAAATGTTTAAAATTACTTTCCAACTATTTTTTAATATGTATATGAAATAAACAAATTCCTTAGTTAAATTTGGGTTCAACCCCAAGATAATTCATTAAATAAATGGAAGTATTACAAAATCTGGGGGAAAAAATCTAAACCCCAAACCACTTCTTGTCTCAAGCATTTAAGTACATAACTTGTAGATCTGTACATAATTTTTCAGAATAAACATCACATTAAGCTCTTAGTATAACTTCATCAGTGTGGTCTAGCCCTTAAAGGAGACACCAAGGTACATGAGAAACAGTTTAAGACCATCACTCAAACACTCAGTGATTCACAAATGTGGTTCAAAGGACTCAGGAGAGAATAGGACCCGTATTCAAAACAAGTGTGCTTCCCCATGCAGACAGAGTCAAGTCTAACTGCATGTTGGCAGATACTGAACTACCGTGACATCATCCCTAGAGCTGCTCAGAGGCTAGGTTTCCAGGCTCTGGTGTCACAGCAAGAATGAAGGAAGAACACACATTCTCTCTCTCCCGTCAGAAACATGCTTTAGCAATTCCACCCCCTGCCTTTCCGTGAGTGACCCCAGCGAATCCACAAGAGACACCCTTTACCACATGCTTGAGATTCCACTCACACTCTAGGACCCATTGCTGACCCTTCCCAGGGAGGAGCGTCAACCATCCACCAAATGAGCCATGTCATCCTGACATGACTGGTAGTGAGGTGACCCCCACCCCTGTGAGAGCAGAGGCTGAAAAGTATATGCTGCTCCGGCTCTCAATGGCAGACAGCATCAAAAATGCCCAGAGCCATTCAAAAGCCTATGTGCAAACTTGCAGTGTCTGAGGTGTCTAAAGAGTAACCGCTGTCACCAACACATGTCTGGTAGACAACCAGCCCTGTTCCTAGCAGTCAGTTAAGTCCACTGTAGTCAAAGAACTCAGGAGATCAAGTGTGAGGAAGATCTCCTGCCCCCCTCAACCAGCACCATGGGAGACTCTGAATCCAGCAGGAGCAGCAGCACCCAGCACCCAGCACCCGGGGAGACTCTGGATCCAGCAGGAGCAGCTTCTCCCTCCCCAGCACCCTGGGAGACTCTGGATCCCTCAGGGGCACTAACAGTGCTTCTCCCTCCCTAATAACTATGTGATCATGGACTGTCGTATTTTATCTGACACTGATTTAGAGCTGAGGATGTGGGTCACTATGTCAAATGCTTACCTAGCATGCACAAAGCTCTAGTTTGAATCCCTAGCAATACACGCACCAAGTGTGGTGGTGAGTGGTTAGAATCCCGGCATTGGAGAGGTAGAGACAGGAGAGTCAGAAGGCCAGAGTCATTTGAGGATATGTTATAAGTTAGAGTCTAGTCTGGGTTACATAAGATGGTCTCAAAAAAAATTGGGGGGGCTGGTCTTTGAAAATTGATTGATTATTCATCCAAAAGTTTGCAGAGTGCTTGATTGTAAGAAACTGTAAACACCAAGGTGAGAAAGGCACCATCCTTACCCTTATAAAGTTCAGTCACTAATTGAACAAATTTGTCTTAAGAAAAGAATATTTGATGTGAGAGGGTGTGGACATAAACTCCATGAGGGAAAGGGGGAATTACAGAAGCCACTCTAGCTAACCCAGGCCAAGATGGTATCGAAAAGGATTTTCTCCTTGATTCTAGCATTAAGAACCTGAGAATAGACAGGGCTCAGGGGAAAAGTTACTACTATTATTCTGCTGAAGGAACATGGCAATAAAATGACTCCTAATGACACCTGGCTATACACATAGTTAAGAGTATCATCATCAGAGAACTTTCTTCTTTCAGTTGATGGTAACTAACCAAAAAAAAAAATCCACAACTGGACAGTGTGCACAGAGTGAGGGACTTCAGAGCGCTCAATCCTAAAAGGGATGTATGTATATGACTCCTCCCTCAAGGCTCAGAGAAATATGTAGAAGAGGAGGCAGGAAGATTATAAAAGGCAGAGGTGGTAGATGTCATCAAAGAAACAGCATTTTTCAGACACAGCAGGACTGATACACACATGAAGGCTGGGACAGCATGCACAAAACCTGAGACAGTTCAAGCTAGATGGAATCCCTGCACTGAGAAGAGGAAGTGGACACCAAGTCGACCCTAACCAGAAAGCTGCTGGGAAAGGGGAACTCCATTTTCTTCAACGGAGTGTCCCTGGGTTTATCAACCACACTCCAGGGAATGCCAGCACAGACACTCCGTGGCTTTTGTGAGTGTGCTTTTTGTTTGCTATTCTTGTCTTGCTTTCTTTTTTATTTTGTTTATATCTTTTGACTTTTGTTGTTTTCTTGTTTGTTTGTTTGTTCATTTGTTTGTTTGGAAAGGGGGTGAGAACATCATGCGCTTGTGTGGGGAGGGAGTTGGGGAGGTTCTGAGAAGACTGGGAGAGGGGAAAGAATATGATCAAAATGAACTTATGTTTAAGGATGATACCAGGCAATCCAGGACCTGGGAAACCTGAACACTAAGAAGTGCAGCATCGTACCACAAAGTGAGACACCTTGAGTGTTTCAGCTAAAGTGTTGACTGCTTCAGGCCTGAGTTTCCATTATTATTACATTTATTCAGAAGTGTGTGTCCAAACATATTCAAGCATTATGGTACATGCACACATGTGGAAGTCAGAACAACTGGCGAAAGTTGTCTCTCTATGTGGATTTGGGGGACCCAACACAAGCCATGAGGGTTGGAAGTAAGTCCCTTTACCTGCTGAGGCGTCTTGCTGGCCCAAATATTCACACAAGTCACGTTTCTCAAACAAAACCAAATTACACACAGACCCCTGAGGTTCCCCAGGCTCTTTCAAGATTTTTCTAGTCTTGATTCTTTGGTTTAATATATTTTAAAATGGTCCTTTGTTTACAGATATTAGTTCTTATGCAGCCACCTCAGTAGCCTAAATGATACTGCCCCGAAAAATGAGCTTCTAATTCTTTCTATAATGACTCCTAGGAATGGATGAGTAAAACTATGATTTTTTCTTCATAATCAGCCAGTGCCTCAAAACATATTATAAATGCTTTAGGCTGGGCTGGGGAGTGGTGGACTGGGGAGTGGAAGGTTGGGCTGGATGGGGAGGAATGGGGCTGGGGCTGGGCTGGGGAATGGGCTTGGATTTACCAAAAGGGGAAAGGAGGAAGGGGTAAGAGATATTAAACCATGGTTTTTATCACCAGATAACTAATAAAATGAGATAAAAGTAAGATGACTGAATCAGGAAGACAATCCCTAACTGGTCTAACTTTCCTGATAACCCAAAGGCCTCTAATGTGGTTTCTTTGTTTTCTTCCTTTTCTCTTCCCTTCTTGATTTCAGGACATCTTCACATCCACGCCAAGAGTCCCCGAGCCCTGCTCTGCTGCCAGGATTTGAAACCCATTTCCTTCTTCATGCTGCACATACCTTGTTGACTCTGAACGGACATTCCTTTGTTTCTGATTCAGGAAATTTTTTCATCCACTTTCCAACAAAGTAGGCGGCATTAACCATGAGGATTTTGGTCTGGTCACTTACACTGTTCTCCGATAAAATGTTCTCAAAATGGCCTGCAAATTATTGTAGAAACCACACATCATGGTCATTCATCGAAGTAGCCTGCTACTGCATGCTTGTTCACTGACTGGGCATCCATCACTCATTAGCATCACACCCAGAAAAACTGGTAGCCAAGGCTGTCCCATTTGGGGCATCTTTTCTGTCCTCCTTCTCTTCCAGACCAGACATCTCAAAGAGCTCTAGGACTGGAAATAAGCCTTTTCTGACTCAGCTGAGATGTACTCCTGAGATGAGGAGATAGGCGCTTTCCACCTGGCCGTGTCCACACCTCCACATACATCACCTCACTGTTTTCCATTTACAGTTGAGGAACCTGAGGTTCAGAAGGGGTCAAGGGCTGCTCTGCTGTGCTCAGCTGAGGCTACATCTTCGCTCTACAACTCTACACGCCTTTCCCAGGCTCACTCCTTGGAGGCAGCTGATGGACTGGAGGTCAGCTGTAACACTCACAAGTGCAGTCGCACCATAATTACCTCAGGCCTTAAGTCATCCACAGCCCACAGAGCACAACCATGAAACCCCCTTAAGAAAAACACTTCTCTGCTTTGAATGACACCTGGCACTTTTGCAAACCACTGTCACTTACCTAACCTCTAACTTTCAAGTCATGCCCAGTGTCCATCTTAATGAGCCACGCACAGGGTCAGTGTTCTGCCACCACTGCCTTCAGATGCTAACTAATGAATCTATAAGATAGAGCCTGAATTTTCTTTTATGCTCTAGGCCCTACAACCTGAGCTCAGTCCTGCCGATGCCACCTATGACGGCTACGTGATGACTTTGTTAAAGAAACCCAAAGAGCTAATAAAAATCCAGGTGCCAATAGTGGCAGAGTTTCAGCTGAAACCTTGCTTCTGTTTCCAAATTCAGAATTCTCCCTAAGCCCCACCCTCTCCAGTCAGAAACTGTAAACTTATTGAGATGCCAAGATAGAAAGCTCTTTGCGAGAAAGCTTAGACGTTTATAAGCAAAGCTGCAACAGCGATTTTAAGCCGGAGCTTCTTTCTGCTTCTAACATTCAAAACTGTATTCAACCGGGTGCTGTTTATATCAGCTTTTCCTTCCCATGCAAGACCAAAGAAATTTTATTTCAGTAACATATGTGTGTGTGTGTGTGTGCATAATATATTTTATTTATGTTTTGACTTTTATGACTACCATGTAGTGTATATACACATGATATACTTGGAGATCTCACAGCAATCACGTGTGAATTTCATTAAGATATGCCACATTTGACTGTTCGGTAAATTGCAGCTCCATACCTAAATGTGTTGACGATCTATATGTGGTTCCTGGATTTGAATCTGGCTTCTAAATGACTCCAGAGTTCCTGCTTTTCCGTGTTGTTAGAGGTGCACATCGTTCATGAGGCAGTATTCAAATGGGATGCCATGCTGGGCTCTGACAGTTCTCAAAAGCAGTGTATCTCCTCACCCCAGCAGCGTATCCCTCCGCAGCCGTCAGTGACTGCCAGTCCTTCAAATTAACTTTCTACCTCCCAACAGGCCTCCCTGGACAAACACGTCTCTACGAAAGGAGAACTAGTCACTGACTGCAATCCAAACCATCTTAGTTCCGATTCTTCCTTGGCAAGGGAGACAACTCACAGGGACTTTTAATGGGGGAGGTGAAGTCGGCGCAGAGAGGGCAGGAGTGGACTTGAAGGTGGGCAGCCTGAGAGCTTCTGAGATTGGGGACAAACTTCCACTCTGGTTGTTAGGTTTGCTTTGTTCTAGATTTGCATTTGTCTAAGTCTGTTTGGATTTTTTTTTTCAGTTTTGATAAAGCTGTAAAAATTTTTAGTTGAAAGTAGATTCAAGGATCATCTTCCCATTTCACGACTTTAAAACCTGACTTTGTGACTTGCCAAAAGCCATAGTATAAAGAGAACAGCTGGGCTCCTACCAGGGCATGTGGCAGCTTGTCATAGAGCAAAGCAAAGCACGCAAAAAAAAAAAAAGCATATAATTTGCCAAGTTATGAGCTGATACAAGAAATGCCCAGAAACTGGAGTTGTTGACATTCCTTGACGGGCAAAGAACTTAGCTTGTGCACTAAAATTACCCAAAGAAGCTTCCAGATGTTCAATACTTTTAGGCTTGAAGCAAGCATTCCTAAGCAGGGAGACCTCCTTACTCAGTTGTTGACAGAACATTAAAGGGTACTTGCCATCTGTGAGCTCCTTAACAGAGCTGTTAATTTGACCTTTCGTTTCTTCCAGTTTATCTTTGAAGTCGACAGTTTCCAATTCTTTTGCATACGGCCTTTTTGTAGAACTGATAAATTCCTGAAAAATATCCAATTCACAGAATCACAAAGCTCTTAGCATCTGTAGATGGAGCTAATGCTAAGAAATGAATTCCTTAAATATCTATTACTATGCATACATTTTCAAAAATTGGTCACACCATATGAAACCTCATGTAGAAATAAGTATTTTTTTTGTATTAGATGTTTTATTTCTTCAGTTATAAGATATAACAATTATTAAATTATCAATTGATTATCACATCTGTCAAAAACAAAAGAAATACTATATTAAATATGTATAGTTAAAGTATAAATCCCAATATTTCAAAAAAATTTATTTATATTTATTACATGCATAGTATAAATATGCAGTTGTCATTTTAAACTAAAATATGCCCCCAGACACTTAAGATTTGAACTTTTAGTTCTCAGTTTCTGTGCTATTTTGAGACTTCCTATAAATTCTGAGAAATACAGCCTAATTGGAAAACAAAGGTCACTGGGGTCTTTGGAGATAATATTCTCACTGTCACTTCCTGTCACTCTCTACTCCCTGGTCCTTCATGATGTGAACAGCTGTCTTCCGATACTTGCTCCTACTGACATTTCTGCCCAAGCAGCCGTGGACTTGGGAAACTTAGAGCCAAAATAATTCTTTCTCCCATTAATTCGCCTCTAGAAAGTATTTTATCACCGCCACAAGAACAAATAATGAACACAACATATATGTATATATATATATATATGTCAAAAATAAGAATCAGAAATGAAAACAATGAGCAAAAAAACCCTTATCTCCACTAAAATAAATGAATATTCTTTAGAGTCCACTCAAAATGTGGTCCAAAGATCAGAAGTCAAGTATCACCTAAGACCTTGTTAGAATGAACTCTCCGGCCCCTCGACTGACTTAGACTACGATTTTTAGCAAGATCTCCATGAGTTGCCCGTTGAAATGTGAAACATGAGACTGTAAAGAACATAGCACTGTGTCTAACTCTAATTCTTGTTTAAAATGCAAATCCTACCCACACTGATCTTGATACAAGAGACAAGAGGTCATGAACTTAGGCTTTCAACAAATACTTGAGAGGTTTAAATTCAGGAGCTGCTCCTCAGGGTACCAGCTGGTAAATTTGCAGGTACTTCATGGTAGGAGAATCGATGAAAAACAGAGGAAAGGGAAGAGAAGGGGGAATGGAGAGGAGAAGGGGAGGGAGGGGAGGGACGAGATGGAGGGGAGGAAAGGAAAGAGAAGGGAAGAAGGGAGAACAGCAAGGGGAAAGAAAAGGGGAGAAAATGTCAAGGAAAGGGAGGGGAGAGAAAGGGAAAAGAGAAAGGAAAAGAAAGGAAGGGAAGAATGGGGAGAAAGGAAGGGAAGAGAAGAGAAGAAAATGAAAGTTTGGTAAAAATAATTCTAAATATGGAATGGAAGTCCAAGCATGCTAACAGACTTGAATGCCATGTCACCCTGTCCTTGAATTCCTTCAGAGTAACAACAGCCTTACCCAGCTAACTTAGTTCCAGTTAGCTAAAAGTCAACCGTGGAGTGACGGGAGCAGCCAGCACTCCTAAGAACATCAAAAGACTGCAAGTGAAGAGCCTCCACTGTCACCGCCAATGACAAGTCTTTAGACATCACTTGGGGAGTTTTAGCATGCTCCCATACTCAAATGAAATGCACATCTCAATATTCTTTCATTTCCCAGGTGACAGCTGGAACAAAAATAGCTGTGTATGTGTGTCTTCACGCCGTTAGGGTAAACTCACAACAATATCTAGGAACTTATTTCTCAACTGTCCTAACAGGAGGGGATCACAGTGTTCTTCATATGACTGCTTCAAGAAATGCCTTGGCTTAAACGACTATGGCAGCTTTGTACAATGTCTTTCTGACTGGCCTAGGAATACAGCTCTGACTCACATCTGATGAAAACTAGTCATTTGTGTCGGTTATTTCCTACTGATTCTAAACACTATCTGGACAAATTTTAAAAAAGAGTTGGGAAGTTCAAGACAATCTCAGGCAGTGTGTGCCCCACTGTTTAAAGAGAGAGTTTATTGCAAGTCATTTTGAGCCCTTCTGAAGATCTGTTTACTAGGTGGTCCTTCCATTATCCCTTCTTTCCAAAGGGACTGAGGGTGGGGAAGGATTGATTAAAGTTCACAGGGAAAGGGATAAACTTCTCTGTATTCCAAGCCAGAAGTGACTGCTGTTTCATCCTGCAGCATCTGCAGTAGGGTCGCTTTCCTTTCCTAAGCCTCAAACCATAGCTGGAACAAGCTGTGGGCCTGCAGAGTGACATGCCCCTTCTGGGATGGAGCACAACCAAGCTGTGAGAAATGACTTACTGTAGAAGGGTTCAGAGACTTGTCTATGTAGAGTCGCTTGATTAGCTTCAAAGAGTAAAAGGAACTGAGCTTATTTACATCAGAAGTGACTGTTTGAAACCCAAAGGGTGCATCTTTGACGTTCTCAAAATGAAGGACCTGTTTAAAAAAAAAAAAAAGCATTCCATTATCAAAAAATAAAATGAAGTAAAATAAAATAAAACATTGTTATGGGGGTCAAGGAGATAAAATGCTTGCACTGCAAGAATGAGGACCTGAACCAGATCCCAAGATCCCATGTTCTAAGAAAGAGAGGGGGGGAGGGGAGAGGGGAGAGGGGAGAGAGAGGGAGGGGAGAGAGGAGAGAGAGAGGAAGGAAGGAAGGAAGGAAGGAAGGAAGGAAGGAAGGAAGGAAGGAAGGAAGGAAGGAAGGAAGGAAGGAATCCTGGCATCAGTAGCTCCTCAGTAAGGCATGAGGCATAAAGAGCACCTGAGAGCGCCTGTCTGTCTGTCTGTCTGTCTGTGTCGGGTTCAGGTCTTGCAGTGCAGGTAATCACAGTTGTTGGAAACTGATGGGTGCTCTGACCCTGCCAGGCCCAGGAGTTTGCATGTCACAGCACTTCCCCACATCCTCCATGTCCTACATTCTTGCTGCCTCCTCTCCCACATTTCACAAGCCTTAGTGTTATGAGGGGAAGAGAGGTCAAAAAGATGGCCCATTGTTGCTGATTGCTCAGTCTCTTGGTTCAGAACTTTGATCAGTTATGCATGCCAGTGTTGACTGCCACCGACTGCAAAAACGGGCTTCTCCAAAACTGAGAGAATGCATAGCCACTGGCACATCTCCCATGCCTCTGGGGATGATCTCTCACCTCTACACATATAGGCAGCACCAATTGGACTAAGCAGATTGTCAGGGGAAAAAGGCATGAAGCTTGGAAAAAGCCATGTTGAGGAGAGTTTGAAGGGAGTTAGAAAAGGTAAATGGGGATGAGCATTATCGTTCCATTGTGTGTGTGTGTGTGTGTGTGTGTGTGTGTGTGTGTATGTATATATATTGTGAAGCTCCCAAGAATTAAGAAAAATAATATTTAAAAAGATCAGAAGTGTAGGCAAAAACAGATATGTCACATGCACTGAAATACTTTTCTTTTGGTTGAGGAATGGACAGGCCCTGCAGCCATTCTGGAAAAGGAGATGAAAAGTGAGAGTGAAGGCTGGGCTGGAGCGTTTGGAGAGGAGGTCAAGCGGGAAAGCACAGCAGCTCTCCCTAGGGTTCCAGTAGCTGCCTCTGCCTCACTTGGTCTCTCATCCCAATCTGGGCAACGTTTATGGGTCATGATTTTATGGATACTTGTGATTTTAAATACTGATGAGCTTGTGAAAAGAAATGGGTCTTTTAACCTTACATCAATCTACATAAAAAATAATAGAATGGAATTGGAATACGGAATTGTAATTACAGTACTGTCTAAGAGATTGTGAAGTCTCAGAACAGCAATCAAGAAAATCATATCGTTGAAGAACTTTACCCAGCTAATCAAGCATAGCCCCAAAGAAACTATGAAACATCTATATAATTATGTATTTATTTACATGGGAAAATTTGCTTTAGTCCATGCCTCTCAAATGAGATAACCAAACCCCCAGTGTTCTAAAACATATGTGCATGCAATTTATTTTATCTGTCCCAGCTTGAAGATAGATCATTTAAAATGTTACTTCTGAAAGTGGAAATACACCAGAGTAGAATGTGATTGAGCTCATATCTTAATATTAAGTTCTAAATAAATTGTGTGTTGAGAGCAGTTCTTGTTCTCTGAATGTAGGGCAAGAGGCAGGGGACAGATTTTTCCCATTACCAAGAGTGTGTGCAATGGAGTATTAACAAGTCATGGACTGATCTTCAGATATGTCAGGTGAGGGATGCCATGTGACTTGCTGACAGTCACTGGGGAATAGAACATCTGTCAGACCCCCATATTCTGCATCCTAACCTGCTACCCATTCTAAATATAGATCATGTTACCCATAAGTGAATGTTCACATTTAGAAGAGACTAAGAGAGCCCTGGAGATGGTCCAGCTACATGTCTTTTATCTCAGGCCCTGACTATGAATTCTAGTAACTATCCCCATTCAAAATCAAAACAAGGTTTGGGTGGCTTACCTGTCCAATTTCATTTGCTGTGTCACCTTTGGCACCTACTTGAGCAAGTGACAGGGAAGTAGAGAGACATATTGGAGAGAAGAGAATATTTCCCATGGGCTCCTTTTCACATAGTTGTTTGAACAAGTCAACAGCAAAAGCAGAATTTGCCAGTCTCAGGGAGTCCATCGTGGGCCTGGAACCAAGCACAGGACTTAATTTTCAACGTAAGTTGTGTTCTCAGCTACATCCTGCCAATAGCAGTAAGAAATCTACTTCAGCGAAGCAATGGTCTTGGGCAGGAGACAAGAAGAAACTTTTGGTAAATTTCAAAAGAAAGGCAGACATGAAGGAACCTCGAGGCAAATGTCTTGGGGCGCATGATGTCTTTTGTGTGTGCTGTTCTCCACAGCAGCTTCACTGTGGCCAGCATCAGGTGCCCATTCCTGGCGCCACCTCCTCAGCAAGCAGTCAGAGCAACAGATGGCATTAGTAAAACTCAGTCTGCTTTATAATCACTATTTCAATTAGGTTAAATTAGACAAAATATCTCTTTGTATATCAAAAAGTAATTGTAGCCCTTTTATGTTGTTCTATTTAATATTTAATAAGTGTATAACTTTGCTCTCAAAAATACACTGAATTCCTAACTTTTTTCTTTTTGGGTTTTCAAGGCAGTGCTTCTCTGTGTAGCTTTGGAGACTGTTCTGGAACTCACTCAGTAGACCAGGATGGCCTCAAACTCACAGAGCTCTGCCTGACTCTGCCTCCCAATGCTGGAATTAAAGGCATGCACCACCACTGCCCAGCAAATTCCTAATTCTTAATACCTATGAATTTAGCTTTGTTTGGAAGGAGGGTCTCTGTAGTTTTAATTAGTTAAAGTGGGGTCATACTGGAGTTAGGTGGAGGCTAATCCAATGTGACAAGTGTCTTTCTAAGAATAGAAAAGAAAATATAGATACAGAGACACAGAAAGGAAAGATAACCTGTATACATACAGACAGAGCAAACCCCTACACAGCTTAGGCAGGACCCATAAATGTCTTAGAGTTAAGTACATGGACAGGATTACAATTTTCATCTCAGACCTAAACAGAAATTGCAAATGCAAAGTCAAGAGAATAAAACAAAAACTGGATTCCTGGTTCATAACAATGTTCAGAATTCTCTTTATAGGGCTGTATGTAGAATGACTCAAATAGATCATAATATTCCTGAGAATCTGAAAATCACAGTTAGTAGCAAAAGAAAGCCAAAGTTGAGCCCACTGGTAACCACCAGTCACATCCCCTGACCTTCCCACCGCCCCCACTGGTGACCACCAACCACCTCCTACGCCCTTCTCCTCTTGCTCACTCACAGGCGTTCACTTGCGGGCACGCGTGGACACATACACACACACACACACACACACACACACACACACACACACACACACTGCACTGGTGACCACCAGCCATTCTCCTTGACATCCACCTTCTGCTTATTCTGCTTATGCCTATGATAAGTATGGCAAGAGCACATTTGTAATTTGTGCCTATTACAAAGGCACAAAAACTTATGGTGGGCATATATGCTTTTTTTTAAGCCACTAGTCCTATTTCTTCTCTCAGGTGGGACCATGACATCATCAACTCTGCATAAAGGCTGACCAGCATGAAGTGAACAGAAATCAGCAGAATCCCCTGCTTCTGTATGTCTGTGGAGGGCTTGGAGCCATCTGCCCATCACGAGGGAGCATATGAGAGACTCTTGATTCCAAGTTAAGGAAATATATGTGAGAGACTTGGAGAACAAAATGTCAGGCTTCCTTTAGTAGCATATTTAACCCTGACAATTCTGAGTTAACCACAACCACAACTCAACCCGAGTTGTGTGGGAAATGAGGAACTGTGTCCTCACCAAATAGAGAAACCTAAAGTCAGATCCCCGCAAACTTTTCAATACTTCCTCCAGGAAGCATGTCAGAGTGTAAGGAGACGTTCACTCTGCCCTTCCGTAGTTCCAGCATGCTGAGATCCATTCAGCCTAAATGACTCTGCATAGACTCAGTCAACATTTAATAAGTCTAATCACAATACTAATACCAGTGCTGTATTACAATGTGAGGCTTGGATCCAGGCTGTGGCTGGAAACTGTAAACGGCTGCACACGTGACAGATGGCACGGCTCCCGCCAGCACAGAGAACCTTCTTCTGCATGGTGGGCCTCAGCACTTGAAGTCCAAACCCACATGTCTGCCTTGTTCAGAAAATCCTCCTTGGGTGTAAAGAAAGGTAGCAGCCCTGGATGTATTAAGTCTCTACAGTACAGCCGTCCAATGCAGCCCAAGGGATCAAGTGTAAGGTCTGCATATGTATGAAGAGTGTTGTAGTGGTGTGGTGGTTCATCTTCACTGTGAACTAATGTAATTTAGAGCCCCATGGAAGCAAATCTCTGCACATGCCTGTGAGGTAGTTTCTAGATTAATTAAGGTAGAGGACTACTCTAACTATGGGTGGCACTATTCTAGGGGTCCAGGTTCCCAGACTGAATGGAAAACAGAAAGCAAGTTGAGCATAAGCATCAGTCATGTTGTTTCCTGACTGTGGATTCACAGTGCGACTAGACCCTCACTCGCCCCACCCTGCTGTCCCCTCCCTGTCACGAGGGGCTGTGTCTTCTGCAACTGACAGACAAAGGAAGTACACCCCGCCTTGAGCTGTCTGCCTCACGTACGTTGTCGCAGCAACGAGACAACTGGCACGCAGCCCCCAATTAGGAAATCAACCAATTATCAAATGGAAAATCACATCAGTGTCTCTGGGATTTGTCCCGAGTGACCTAAAAAACGATGCAAAGCTGGTGTCCTCTGAGAGAGCTGGGGAGAAGACTTTGAGAACAGCCAACCGACGTCTCCCTATGTTGTAAGACTACAAATTTAAGCAAATCTCAGACATGTGGACAGTAATACCAGAAAAAAGTGTGAAGTTCCTACATAGGTCATTTTGCACACACAAATTCTATTTTAAAAGTTGTAAATTCCAAATCCAGATGAATAAGCCCCATACAATAAGTTTACGTGACTAAAAATTTGCACTCAAAATGCTAAAACCATTTCAATTGTTTCCACCTTTGTGTGGCCTTTGTACAGGATTGTCTTCTTCAATTTTCATGAAAATCCAAGAATCAGGTTTTTTTAAAATACTATTTAGGCTGGAGGGATGGCTCAGACATTAAAGGTTGGACTCACAACCCAAGTTTTAAAAAAAATATATTATTCTATTTGACTCTAACCCAGAAAAAAAAACTTCACCTTTTATACCCACATTGGAGTAACTTCCATCTTGACAGGAAGGAGTCGGATGATCCCACAAGCAGTAACACAAATACAGTTTTCAAGAATTTATAACCCTTTGGCCAGGGGTGAACCCCTAACTCGTGAAACAACACCAGCCTGGTCAGTCCTGAAACCATAAGCATCCAAGCAGCACTGAGGACTGTTCGGTAGGCTGTACTTATATGTTTATGTGTTTATAAAAAATACGGGACAATAATAATCAAAGAAGAAGAGGTTGTGAATTTGAGGGGAGGTAGAAGAGGATAACAGGGGTGGGACAGAGGAGGAGAGAAAAATGATGTGATTATATTTTATCTTAATTAGTTTTTTCAGTTGTTAGGAAAAATGAGAACTGAAAGTCAAGAGCCTTGTTTCTGTAGTTCCCTGCTGAGGTATTGTACAATCATAAACCTTTAACGCGGGATAAGATCTACCCTGGCCCCACCTCTTCATTTAGAAAATGAGTGAAGTGGAAGATGGAGAGATTCTCCCAGGCCTCCCACACAGGGAGTGAGAGTAACAAGGCCAAACCTAGAATCCATTCCTTCCAGATCCCATCCCAGCACCTCCCCACCACACCACCTCACCTTCTTTCTTAATGGGGTTTTTGCTCCATTTAATTTTTTCTGAAGTTTCTCAAGTTCAAAAAATACTGTATTCTTAATGATCCCCTTCAAAGATACCAAGATTTCCTCTGTGTGTAGGAGGGATGTTGCTTTTGTTTGGGTCTTGTGGTTGTTTCTTCAGTTGGTTGATTTGAATGACACAGAACTTTTCCCCTAAGATTTTCATACTTGAAGGAATTCTGGCTCTTTCTGCATCTGATGTTTCAAGCTATCTATGCTTTGATTACTTCATTATATAAGCTGTAAGCACCTAACTCAAGCCAGGCAGAAGTAGGCATTAAGAATCTCAAGGTGGGGACTGGAATGATGGCTCAGTAGTTAAGAGCACTGGCTGCTCTTTCAGAGGACCAGGGTGGCTCACAACCATCTGTGATTCCAGTTCCAGAGGATCTAATGGCCTCTGTGGGTACTGCATTTATGTGGTACACAGGCATACATGCAGGCAAAACACATAAAATAAAAATAAATAAATGAAAACAATTGAAAAAAAACAAAAGCATCCCAAGGTGCACACATCCTAGCTTCTGCCTTCACCAAGGCATCAGGTAGTGGCCCAAATGTGATGATAGCGTGTATCAGCTACCATGGGAACCCTAAGAAACACCTCACCCCTAGCGGAAATCTCAGAGACACTTCATGAGAAGCACTGACAACAAAGTGAGTCACCCTAAAAGGATAAGGTGGACTTAATCAGACAAAAGTGGAGAGCAGAGACAACTGAAGCAAATTAGAAGAATCACACTTAGCTGTAAGTGTGAGGATAAGATGAGGTTTAGAATGGAGTACAGAATTATGTAAAGTGGGGTCAGTAGATCCTTTTCTAAGGTCCATGACCTCACTAGTCCTGGAAGCTGGCTGGGTTTCCGGGACCAGGCATAGCTTCCCTCCTGTTGAGTGGGCCTTATGTCCACGTGAGTGTCACTGACTGCACCTTTTGCACACCTTGCCAAATTGACAATTGTGGTAATTGTCACAGTTCTTAGGTGTTACAGCTGGGTAGGGCTGTTTAACAGCTTCCCTCTCTTGGCAGCTTGCATAGCATTTTCTGGAGCCATGGAAGCTAGACCGCAGGAAAGAGACTTTCAGGTCAGATCCAGCTAGAGTCTTCTGAGTCTTGTGTCTTAAATGTGTAGTGCCTTCAGCAATACGGATCCATTCTCAACCCTCCTAGGCAACAAAGGACTAAACCAATTATCTATATTGTTCTGGAAGTTGCTTGGCCTACACTGGCCAACCTTTTGAAAGGGTTCTTGTGTCTGGTACTGGATTTTTTGTCCTTTTTGTTAGTTTATGGTTCTTATGGGAAGCATTGGCAGCCTAAGAAGTTTAACTTCCTTTAAAATAGATAGAAGATTCATAAACAGATAGACAGAATGTTGGTGGTAGATAGATGACAGATAGATATATAAATAGATGATATAGATATATAATAGATATATAGATAAATAGATAGATGATGGATAGATATACACATTACCTTATATGCACTGTATATAATTTTAATTAAATAAAAAATAATATAATTCTTTGAGGCCTATCAAATAACCTTGGTATTATTTGTCCTTTGTCTCTCTTTTCTATATTAATCTTTATCTCTCCTACCCACCTAGAGCCTCCTCCTCATTATTCTCCCTTATCAAAAAAAAATCTTCTCTTACAGCAAATGGAGGGTATGGCACAGGAAACCACAACTGGATATAATGTAGAGATTGACAGATCTAACCCAGCACCAACAGACATCTACATCACATCTATGACTCAGGGAACATTTTGGAAGAAGGGATGGAAAAATTGTAAGTTTCAAAATACCAGGAAATCTATTGTGAAACAGTCTTTCCTAGAAATGGCTGCAGAAACAGGACCAGAACAATGGCAATATCAATGGATACATTAACATGGAAGTGTGGAAAGTTTGAGGGGCCCAACACCTAGACACAGAACTATAAGCAACTAAGGATGACTGGGAGAAGAAGAACTCATCCTTTTTGATGAGCCTCTTATTGACTGTCCAACGCCGAGTGCTCAGCTTGTAACCATACGAGCAAAACAACAAAAACAGATTCAGCAGGTTCTGTACACACACACACACACACACACACACACACAAACACACACAAAAGACAGCACAACACATGTAAAGGGCTATAACAAATACAATCAAAGAAAGAGAGGCTATCAACTTGTTGAGGAAATGGGGAGAATTAAGGAGGAATAACTAGGAGGGGCTGGAGGAAGGAAAGGGAAGAGGATAGGATGTAATTCATTCTATTTCTATTAAAAATAAAATAAAATGAATGAATGGAGCCATATGCACTAGGATGAGGGAGGAGAGCTCACTTCTCTGGACGAATAGTTTATGATGTCCTTATGCAAGAGCACAAAGCATCCAAGCCAGTGAGCCTCAAATGTGCTCATCTTGAAGCTGTATGGAAAGTAAAAGCTCCCTGTAGGAAGATGATTATGCATCTGACTTTACCTGAGACAGTCTTAGCATATGACTGTTGTCCTGCATGCCCACAGTTAAATGATATAGGTCAACCTATCTACAAACTGTCTGCCACGTTCATTTGACTCATAGACATGTGAATTCACACACATGTGTACACACACACACACGCACACACAGAGAGAGGGGGGACTATGTGCATACTTTTTCTTCATTTCTTAATAACTAAATTTTTGCCAGGCCTGAGAGCTCATACTGTAATATCAATATCAAGAAAACTGAGGCAGAAGGATTGCCATGAGCCGTGAGTTCAAGGTGAACCTGTCCTATATAGTATATGCCATCTCAAGGGGCTACATAGGAGATCCTGTCTAAAGAAACAAAAAAGGCAATTTTCCACACCAGAGTATTCCGAC